GACCTAGACCCCAAAAACTTCGAACTTCGAACTCCGGCCTTGGATGCGTGTGCACGCGGACAACACCACGCTCTGCGGAGGTTCCCTCTCGCAGTCTCGACTCCGAGCTGTGCTTCCAGGCACCAGCGATGACCCTGACAAATCGCAGGTCGCACTGAGAGAAGGAGCCCACACAATGTGCAGCTGTTAGCACCCACCGGCGATCGATGAGAGTCCCTCCGCAGAAGTGGCTGGACTTAGTGGTGTTTTTTCGCACATCATGCAGGCTGACCTGCCATCTCCAGCTGCATTGTGCGGCGCTTTTGCCGTGCATGATACGGGTACCATCCTGTTGTGCATGCCCTCGAATGCCACACTGGCCTAAGTCTGTCCTCTGGCTGGCCCTTCGTTGGCTGGCCCCGCGCAACTGTGCATCCGGAGCTGGGCTCGCGCAGCACAGGCCTGATGCTTCAGAACGGGGCATTCAACCATGACAAAAGATAACAGATTCCATGTACCTCCTAAAGCATCTTTTGGCACAGAACAGCAGGCTAAGGTCGTGACAAAAGACGAGGCACGCAGCAGCAGGTTGCCGCCACGACAACCCGGCGTAAGGCCACACCATGCTTTTTTACAGGCACTAAGACATGTCCAGGGCTCTTGCGGCCCCATACTAGCTCTTGAGCCTTTCTGACCGAATATGACGCTACACCTCCTGCACCCTGCACTTTGCTGCATTCGAAGATGTCGTGGCATTTAACCGGCACGGAACGGATTATCTGGAGCCACAGTTAGATCTTTCAGGCGTTTAAGGTGCAACTTCCTCAGGCTCCCACTCATCACCGCCTGGGTTGACCATGGGTAGAAGTTGTACAGCAGGACCATGCAGGACCTCCGTGGATGGCGGCCAGCTTTCGGTGAGAAGCGAGCCCGGGAACCTAGCTGAACCTCGACAGTCGCACCTTCAACATCCCTAACCCCCAACAACCAACATTGCAGGACAAGACCTGGATCACGCTTGAAACTGGAAGCGGTGTACTTTCAGTCCAGATTAGGATCAACAGCAGGCGAAAAGCAGCGGATGTTTTGGATGTGAGGATTTCCGACGATACCTTTTTGGGGGTCCTTATTATAAAGGACTCCTACTCTTTGGGGGTCTTTTTTTGGGGGGTCTCTTCTTTTCTTAAAAGGCCAGGTGGGACTTGTGCGGCTGCAGACTCCGAAGCCCCGGGCAACAGAAAGCGGAGCAGTCCAAGTCCTGGAAAAGGATGGTACTGGTCCTGCAACCATGTGGAGGTTTAGGGTTTAGGGCTTTGGGCTTAAGGATGGTACTGGTCCTGAAACCATGTGGGGGGTTTCCGACATTAGGGGTAGCTTGTTGGGGTCCTTATTTTCAGCAGTTCCTACTATTTGGGGATTTATATTGGGTGTCCCACGTCTAAACAAGATCAAGGTCATCAACATCCGAACAACGAGGAGAAGCATTCTGACCGAAACGTGCATTGACCAGCAGCGGGGCTGACTTTTCTCCTGCCCATCCACATTTGGTACCTGGCAGTGTTGACATGGCCAGTCTGGAAATTTTGCTTGAGGCCGTTTTTGAGCACAGTCCACTTTCCCAGGCGCGCACCCCAACACCTGCATCCGCCTCTCCGCCCCGGAGTGTGAGAAGATGCTCCAAACCTAAATTGCAAGCGGCAGTTCAATTCGTGAAACTTGTGGCTGTGAAATTTCAACTGCGCCCTCCCCGCACGTTGCCCCACTCAAGCTCCAAAAAGACAACGTTTAAAGCTGATTTCATTGTCTTTACTACGCACGCACACCCACACACGTTCACAAGTCGCTCACTTTTCGTTGATACGCTCTTCTCGAGAGCCATCTCCAACTGCTCAACTGCTTCATGGCGGGGTCTACAGCACCTGCGCAGACTGTAGCCGTACTGTGTATCCATCATGGTCGCAATCTACAGATTATCACGCTCTCCCAGTTGTCCCACCTACGGATAGCTAAGATACTGCATTCTTGAATGAGGCTGACACTGCAAACGCACACTTGCGTCCGAGAAGCCCCAGCAGGCGCCGATTGCTGCAACGAGCAGCAGCACACAGGCAGCACTGGCGCCACATGAGCTCATGCGCAACTTAAAGGCTTCGACCATGAAACATTGCCAGTGGCCACTAGTACTGACAGACAGCAACAGAAGCAGGACATCCAGATTGGCCTCCAAGCTGCACTTCGGAAGGACCGGTTCGCCTGAAGCATTCAGAGTGTCTTGACGTGCGTCTTGGTTCACTAGTCTCACGCGGCTACTTGGTGCGCTTCCATAACGCACCAGCACCAGCAGCAACAACAACAACGGCAACAACAGCAGCAACAGCAGCAGCAACAACAACACCACCACCCACCAACGACAGCACCATCGACACCACCAACAACCCACCCAACAACACCACCCAAACGACAACAGGCAACAACAGACAACAACAGACGACAACAACCAACCAACCAACCGACCAAACAAATAAACAAAGAAGCAAACAAACAAAGAAGCAAAGAAACAAACAAACAAAGAAACAAACACACAAAGAAACAAAGAACCAAACAAACAATTCAGCAAGCAAACAAGCAAACACGCAAACACGCAACTACACAACCAAACAACCAAACAAAACGAGCAAAACAAACAAACAACCAAGCAAACAAACAACCAAGCACACAAACAAACAACCAAAAACAAACAACAGAACACCAAACCAACAAAACAGCAAAACAGCAAAACAGCAACACAACAAAACAACAAAACAACTAACAACTAACACACAAAAAAAGGCAAACGGCAACAACAAACAACCCACAAACACACAACAACCACCGCCACCACCAACAACAACAACAACAACCAAATGACAACGAACAAACAACAAACAACAACCACCAAAAAACGAACAACAAACACCAAGCACCAAACAACAAACAAAAAACAACAAAACCAAACAACAAGCAACAAACAACAAACGACAAACAAGCAAACAAGCAAACAAGCAAACAAACAAACAAACACACAAACAAACAAACAAACAAACAAACAAACAAACACACAAACAAACAAACCAACAAACAAACAAACAAAGAATGAAACAAACAAACAAACAAACAAGCAAGCAAGCAAGCAAGCAAACAACACACAAAATAAAATACAAGGCTATAGCAAAACAACGACAAATCCACAACAAAAAAGCAACAAACAATAACAACCAACAACAAACTCAACAGCCTCAACAAACAACAAGCCACAAAAAAAAAAAAAAAAAACACCAACCAACAGCCACCAACAACCAACAACCCACAACCAACAACAACCACAACAAAGAAGACTAACAAGAATAAGAAGAAGAAGAAGAATCACAAGAATGGAAGAACAATAACAAAAGCAATGACAACCACAACCGCAGCCCCCCCCCCCCCCGCCCCCTCCGTCCCCGATTAGTGCCATTGCCTCCGCCGCCTTCTCCCGTGCCTGAACAAGGCTTCCCATTGGCTTAGATTTGTGAACGCTTCGGCTGCTAGTTCACTCCAGTCTTGGCATAGCTATCGGAGCTGCTTAGTCAATGCAGGCTGAAAAAGGACCACTGAGCTGCTTCGTATGATGTCTGGCCAGAGGCACCGCGGCCTCTACGATACTCTCATCAACTGCCCGCAATGCCTGGTAGCATCATGGCAAGGGCTACGACTGGTTGCTTTTTGAGGGAACAGAGAGGGAACATGGGTTCAGAGAGCACTGTGTTTCAAAGATGGTCTTGGATGCCCTAGCCACAGCGGAATGGTCTTCTGTCCGTTGCTGCAAAAATTGCCGGATTCCGACAGTCGCGTCAAGCTTCGAAATGGCAGAAGGGGGTCACAAACTTGCGCTTCCGAAGGCCTTTTCTGCCTGCTGCGGCGCTAGGGCCCAGAACTGAATTCTAGTTGTGCTGGTTCTGTGCACTTTGCCTCATTATTATTTGTATTCCCAGCTGATGCGTTCCCCAACTACATTGCTCAACCTCGTTCGGCTGCCGCAGGGCCTAAGAGCCTCCTCTACAAGATCACCTTCAGACCAAAGAGACGCGAGCTTGGCTGGTCGTAGTCTCGGGCAGGTTCTGTTTCCGATTTTCCGACGTGTAAGCAGTGTAGTGGCAAAGTATCTGTCTGTGCTGTCAGAGACCTTGGTGCGCACACGGTCCCAACCACAATATCCAAACCCCAAGACCCCGTGAATGAGATCCACGAGAGCGAACTTCGGCGATTGGCAACATTCCGCGCGCTTGGTTTCAGCACTGAGCCACGAAGGCCTGCGTGCATCTCTTACAGCAGAGACCATCCAAGGTTCCACGGGCTCGGCATTCTTCTGACGCCCTTAATTACGAAGATCTGTGGAAGCAACATGAAACAAGTGTGTTTTCAGTTTGCAAACTTGCACGGTCCGAAACGTGTCGCTGCTGGCATTTGCCAGCATCACCCCGAATCACCAAATTTTGCAGCTGCAAGGTGTGATCTGCAAGGGGCTTCTTGGGCACCGACTCCAGTTACATCTCCTTGTTTCAGCTTGGCTCCTCCGAGCATCAGGGCCTTCCGTGGAACATGATGCAAGATGCCCTTGAACCTCTGCACTAAGTACCATCGGGATACCATCGTGCTTCTGAGTGCAACAGTCGCAATGGTAGTGTGGATGCCAAGGCCAAAACCTGGGAGACAGCGCCAGTCACAATGTGGGCGTTTACTCGGATGAGCTTGGCCGCATCATCGACAGCATCTGCGTTGTCATGAACCTGACAGTTCTCGCATGTCAGAACATGCACATGGCGCAGTGTTTGCTGATGTTTGTTGCAGCTGCAGCATGGCGAACTGGGCACATGAGGCTTGAACAAGGTTGTTGAGTTCCTGAGTTGGCTGCAGCGAATCGATCTCACGCAGTCACACAATGTTGGGTTGGCTTGCTTGGTTGCCAAAATTGGTGGTGCCGCCTGCCGCCGAGACTCAGCCATCAGCGTCCCATTCGTGTGGTTCACCAGGAGTTGTTGCAGCACAGCACCTGCGCCCACACAGGCAAGCAACTTACTGCTCAGTGGCCACACACGTCTCGAAATCCCGTCCCGCCTGTACTGGTCTCATTGTTCGTCAACGACGGCCTAGTCGAGAGCTGCCTCCTCGCCAAGTCTTGCGTTGATTGATTCCGGCCTAAATGAAGCAGACTCCTCGCCAATGCGTGCAATCCATGCCACGTTACCTGTCTTGCAACCTTCCTGCATGTTTCTACCATTGCTGCGAATGACGAGAAAAGTGGCACAAGTTCTTGTGCCGGTACTTGCGAACCCTTGCCCGATGCACGTTCCGCAAGCCCGAAGAACTATCGGTGTTGAACTTCAACCGGTAGAGGCGCTTCAAACAAATTGTCCTGACATCCAGATGTTCAGGCCGAAGAGGTAAAGCGCTGACACCCGCAAAAGATGCAACTGTCACGATGGCCGCACAGCAGCTCAAACGCTGCCACATCCATCGCAGGGCGCCTCAATCAGGGTGGCCATCTCGTGCCATCACCACTACAGGCTGCCCCTAGCAGATGAATGAGAACTGAGCCCGTGGCCCAGGGCGCCCGACTATACGTAAAATCGGTACCGGATGCTACAAGCCGTCTGCTAGGCCAAGAGCGCACAGATTGACATCCTTACAGTATCTTACAGTGTTCAACTTCCCAGTCCAGTACGAGACTTTGCCAGCCACCCCAAGTCTCATGCAAATACTTCTTGCAGCCCCGAGTTTCGCAGTTTCTGTGTTCAGAATTCGTGTGCACACGGGTTGTACCGGCGCGCCGGTACGCCGCCCGCAAAGGGAGATCGGTGTATCCGTGTCTTTTCTGTTTTCTGCCCCCTTGTGCGTGTGCACTGTTGACAGTTGACAGCGTGCATGCGTCGATTTATGCCGATATGCCGATCCCCCGCCCAACTCCTGACACGCCAATACACCGACATTCGATACTTACCCCCCCCCCCCCCCGACACGCCAATGCACCGACCTCTTCGGGATATCGGTGCATATCGACGTGCCAGTACGCCGACAAGCTGACACGGAGTAGGTATCGGTGTATGTTCTGTTCTTCTGCCCCCTGCTGCGGGCGCACTTTTATGGGTCTTTACTGTACAGGGCATGGATGGATCATTGCTGCATCATCGCCTCAAATAAAAGCCGCGGCGTTGGCAGGGCACAGATGAGCACAGGCGCTCAGATCTGTGTCTTGCGACAGGGTGTCCACAACAACGGGTGTGGATGTGCTGGGCATTATATATGTGGCCTCTAGGTCTGACCCCATCATGGTGAAAGCATCTCCATGCTACCTTTCTCCACCAGGTACACTACCCACTACAGTCCCTGGCGCAAATGCATGAACTGTTTTCTCCCCTGCGTTCGGGCAAGGAAAGCGTTGCGGTTGAAGCAGCGCAGAGCCTGCCGTCACCTTGGACGATTGCACGTCAAGAGGACCGTGTCACTGTTACTCAGCTGCTGGCTCTTGAAGCTGAGATTCAGCAGGCATGGTGCGCTTAAACAACCACCCGGACTCAAACAAGCCTTTTGCAACTTGAAGCAACTTTGCCAGCGCAATGTTCGGCAGCTTCGAATTTTGGCACATCAACAGAGCTAGGAGGAGCCACTCTCCCGAGAATCGCAGCCACCATGGCTAGCGCGCTGTCGGCGAGAAGCCGTGTTTTATCTCCTAAGCTTCAGTGCAGGCGGATCTGCACAGCCAAGTCGCCCCAGCCTCCCCACAAATTCTCAATGTTCAAGAGTCTTTGGCTTCGGCTATGTCCAGCTGTTCTTTACTCCAGGTGACTTTCTTCTCTGCCTCTGCAATTGCGAGGGGTAGTCGGTAACCATATGCAGTGTGGACCGTATATGGCGATGCAAACATGTGCAAACCCAGGGCGCCGAGGGTGCCGGCTTCGAAGCTGCCTCCGACTCCGGCTCACTGCCTGCCCAGGTCTCATTAATTAAAAAGGTTGGAGCAGACTTGCAAAGCTTGCTTCTGCTTTACAGGACACATTTATCAGCCTTCAGAGAGCTTGCCAGTCGCAACGCCTGTGGGAGCATTGCCAACTGCCTTGGCTCTGGTAGGTGCTTCTGCTTGAGGCGTCTGCGCTTCCAGCCGGTCTGAATCTGGCTTGCTCCTCTGCGCAATGGGCTTCTTCTCACTCTGGCCGACTTTGGCATGCAAGCTCGTACCTGTAGTCATGGATGTTGTCGATGTTGTAGAGGTTGTTGATGACATTTTGGGTACAACCGGAACAGAGCCGACGATGATATGGTCCTCATCCTCCTCCTCGCCAGGCGACTGCTGCTCTGCATCGTCAGTTGACCCGGTCGCACCTGCGCCGCTGAAATTGCTGTTGCCTGTGGTTCCAGCGACTCCGGTGTTACCAGTGACTCCAGTGGTTCCAGCCGCATGGTTGCTTGTTCCTCCGCGTTCTGTGCTTTGGGTGTTGGTCGTGACAGGCTTTGACACCGTAGTGGCTGCTGGCTCGCTGTCCTGACTGCTTTTTGCTGTCGTGGCAGTGGTGCCTGCTGGCAGGTGGTCGGCTGGTCCCGTGACGCCAGTTGTTCCAGCCGCATGGTTGCTTGCTCCTCCGCTTTCCATGCTTTGGGAGTTGGTCGTGACAGGCTTTGACACCGTCGTGGCTGCTGGCTCGTTGTCCTGACTGCTTTTTGCTGTCGTGACAGTGTTGCCTGCTGGCTGGTGGTCGGTTGGTCCCGTGACTCCAGTGGTTCCAGCCGCATGGTTGCTTGCTCCTCCGCTTTCCATGCTTTGGGAGTTGGTCGTGACAGGCTTTGACACCGTCGTGGCTGCTGGCTCGTTGTCCTGACTGCTTTTTGCTGTCGTGGCAGCGGTGCCTGCTGGCTGGTGGTCGGTTGGTCCCGTGATGCCAGTGGTTCCAGCCGCATGGTTGCTTGCTCCTCCGCTTGCCGTGCTTTGGGAGTTGGTCGTGACAGGCTTTGACACCGTCGTGGCTGCTGGCTCGTTGTCCTGACTGCTTTTTGCTGTCGTGGCAGTGCTGCCTTCTGGCAGGTGGTCGGCTGGTCCCGTGACTCCAGTGCTTCCAGCCGCATGGTTGCTTGCTCCTCCACTTTCCGTGCTTTGGGAGTTGGTCGTGACAGGCTTTGACACCGTCGTGGCTGCTGGCTCGTTGTCCTGACTGCTTTTTGCTGTCGTGGCAGTGGTGCCTGCTGGCAGGTGGTCGGCTGGTCCCGTGACGCCAGTGGTTCCAGTCGCATGGTTGTTTGCTCCTCCGCTTTCCGTGCTTTGGGAGTTGGTCGTGACAGGCTTTGACACCGTCGTGGCTGCTGGCTCGTTGTCCTGACTGCTATTTCCTGTCGTGGCAGTGGTGCCTGCTGGCAGGTGGTCGGCTGGTCCCGTGACTCCAGTGGTTCCAGCCGCATGGTTGCTTGCTCCTCCGCTTTCCGTGCTTTGGGTGTTGGTCGTGACAGGCTTTGACACCGTCGTGGCTGCTGGCTCGTTGTCTTGACTGGACTTTGCTGTCGTGGCAGTGGTGCCTGCTGGCTGGTGGTCGGCTGGTCCCGTGACGCCAGTGCTTCCAGCCGCATGGTTGCTTGCTCCTCCGCTTTCCGTGCTTTGGGAGTTGGTCGTGACAGGCTTTGACACCGTTGTGGCTGCTGGCTCGTTGTCCTGACTGCTTTTTGCTGTCGTGGCAGCGGTGCCTGCTGGCAGGTGGTCGGCTGGTCCCGTGACGCCAGTGGTTCCAGCCGCATGGTTGCTTGCTCCTCCGCTTGCCGTGCTTTGGGAGTTGGTCGTGACAGGCTTTGACACCGTCGTGGCTGCTGGCTCGTTGTCCTGACTGCTACTTCCTGTCGTGGCAGTGGTGCCTGCTGGCTGGTGGTCGGTTGGTCCCGTGACGCCAGTGCTTCCAGCCGCATGGTTGCTTGCTCCTCCGCTTTCCGTGCTTTGGGAGTTGGTCGTGACAGGCTTTGACACCGTCGTGGCTGCTGGCTGGTTGTCCTGACTGCTATTTTCTGTCGTGGCAGTGGTGCCTGCTGGCAGGTGGTCGGCTGGTCCCGTGACTCCAGTGGTTCCAGCCGCATGGTTGCTTGCTCCTCCGCTTTCCGTGCTTTGGGTGTTGGTCGTGACAGGCTTTGACACCGTCGTGGCTACTGGCTCGTTGTCTTGACTGGACTTTGCTGTCGTGGCAGTGGTGCCTGCTGGCTGGTGGTCGGTTGGTCCTGTGATGCCAGTGGTTCCAGCCGCATGGTTGCTTGCTCCTCCGCTTTCCGTGCTTTGGGAGTTGGTCGTGACAGGCTTTGACACCGTCGTGGCTGCTGGCTCGTTGTCCTGACTGCTTTTTGCTGTCGTGGCAGCGGTGCCTGCTGGCTGGTGGTCGGTTGGTCCCGTGATGCCAGTGGTTCCAGCCGCATGGTTGCTTGCTCCTCCGCTTGCCGTGCTTTGGGAGTTGGTCGTGACAGGCTTTGACACCGTCGTGGCTGCTGGCTCGTTGTCCTGACTGCTTTTTGCTGTCGTGGCAGTGCTGCCTTCTGGCAGGTGGTCGGCTGGTCCCGTGACGTTAGTGGTTCCAGCCGCATGGTTGCTTGCTCCTCCACTTTCCGTGCTTTGGGAGTTGGTCGTGACAGGCTTTGACACCGTAGTGGCTGCTGGCTCGTTGTCCTGACTGCTCTTTGTGGTGCCTGCTGGCAGGTGGTCGGCTGGTCCCGTGACGCCAGTGGTTCCAGCCGCATGGTTGCTTGTTCCTCCGCTTTCCGTGCTTTGGGAGTTGGTCGTGACAGGCTTTGACACCGTCGTGGCTGCTGGCTCGTTGTCCTGACTGCTTTTTGCTGTCGTGGCAGTGGTGCCTGCTGGCTGGTGGTCGGTGGGTCCCGTGACGCCAGTGGTTCCAGCCGCTCCTCCGCTTTCCGTGCTTTGGGAGTTGGTCGTGACAGGCTTTGCCACCGTTGTGGCTGCTGGCTCGTTGTCCTGACTGCTATTTCC